CATGAACGAACAGAGAAGAGAATTCTACACGGCGCGTTCTGTCCCAACAACAAGGACCAGTTGGAGGATGGGATAATTTATACTTCGGGCACCGAAAGGTGGCTCAAGTCAAGGAATCTCACTCCAGGTGAGAGTCCACCAGCAAATTCAAACATATTCGTAACTTCCTACCCACTTAAATAGGAACACAACAAGTAGGCACAAGAGTAGACCATGCAGCCCTTCAGGCCCATTCTATTATTCAACTAGATTGGGATTGGTGTTCAATCTCTACCTTCTGCCGTACTTCCCTATACCATATAGCATGGAAACAGGCCCTTCAACCCAAATCACTCATGCCGACCAGGGTGCCTAAACTGAACTGCCTGCATTTGGCCCAAATCCCTCTAAACCCTTCCTATCCATGTCCTCCAAAATGTTCTCACTGTACATGACTCCACCACTTCCTCTGGCAGCTCCCTCCATACATGCATGATCCACCCTCTCCTTGAAAAGGTACCTTTGATAAATTTAATACCTAGAAATCCGTCAATTTCTGTCTTGAACATATTCCATTACTGCACCTCCAAAGCCCTCTAAAGGTACAGAATAGTGAATAAACCCAAAAGAACTGCGGACGCTGTAAATCAGAAACAAAAACAGAAATTGCTGGAAAAGCTCAGCAGGTCTGGCAGCATCTGTGCATAGAGATCAGACTTAATGTTATCAGGTCGAGTGATCCTTCCTCAGAGAATTCCAAAGACTGCCCAGTTTGAGTGACAAAATTTCTCCTTGTTTCGGTCCTAAATGACTGACCCCTCATCCCGAGACTGTGCTCCCTGGTTCTGGACTCGGCCAGCTAAGGGGAAGGCAGCATCTAACTCATCAAAACTTGTAACAGTTGTATCTGCTTCAGCATGATCATCTCTCACTCTTAGGGACCCGGGTGCGCTTCCACCCTCAGGTGACCATCTGTGTGAGTTTACACATTCTCCCCATGTCTGCGTGGGTTTCCCCCAGGTGCTCCGGTTTCCTCCCACAGGTTAGGGTAGATTGGCTGTGATAAATTGCCCGTAGTGTCCAGTAACGTGCAGGCTCGGTGGGTTAGCCATGGGAAATTCAGGGTTACAGGAATGCTCACCAACTTCTACAAGTGCACCATTGAAATATTGTGTCCGGGTGCATAACGGTCTGGTAGGGCAACTGTTCTGTGCAGGACCGTAAGAGACTACAGAAGGTGGTGTGCACAGCCCAGACCATCACAGAAGCCAACCTTCCATCCATGGTCTCCATTTACACGGCTCACTGCATCAAAGACCCATCACACCCCGGTAATGATCTCCTACAACCTCTTCTGTCAGGCAGAAGATACAGAAGCCTGAGCACACGCACCAGCAGGTTCAGGAACAGCTTCTTCCCTGCCGTTATTAAACTGATGAATGGACTCTCTAGCCACAAACAACGATTGGTCTTGCTAACATGATCTCGCTTAGTGCACGCCCCGTGCAAAGTAACCTGCACCTCTGCCTAAGTCTTTTTGATCTGTACATCCTCGCTTACTGTGATCTGTCTGTTCTGCTCGTAAACAAAGCTTTTCACTGTACTTAGGTACACGTGACAATAAATCAATCAATGCAGTGGGATGTTCTTTGGAGGGTCAGTGTAGACTCGAAGGGCCAAATGGCTTGCTTGCACACAGTAGAGGTTCTATAATTCTAAACATTGGAGAACACCAGCCCACCCCTTCCCCCCACCAAATCTCTCAAACACAGGAGCCACAGTTAGAAATGCATGACGTCCAGCTGCACCCCTCTCCGGGGCATTTACAAACCAAACACTGGCAGAATTTTGGTTACCACGCCCACCTCAAGCCGGAACCGTTCGCATCTCCAGCACCGTGGCTCCAACCGACAGGAGAGAAGGATTACTCCCGCTGCTCCCCACCCCGGCACAGAACTCTCAGCCCCAGGCGAGACAGGAGAGCCAGCCACTCACCCGACTTTGCTCCGGGTCTTGTTCGCGTACAGCTCGCTCAGGCTGATGGCCGCCTGGCCCAGGAACTTGTCCAGCCCCACCAGCGCCCGGTGCATGACGGTGAGGCGCAGGGTGCTCTTGTCGGCCCGGCCCAGCTGCAGCGGGGGCATCTCGAACTCCGCCTCCTCCCGCCACAGGGGAGCGGTGGTCTTCTCTGCCACCGAGCTAGAGTACTGCTCCTTACCCAGCTGCATGATGGCGTAGGCGTCATTGGTGCCATCCTTGCCCTTGTTCCGCAGGCCCCGAGCTCGGATCGCCACCACCTTGACGTGGGTCGGGTACCACTGCTGGCTCTGCGCCAACAAAGACATGCTGGCACCGCCCTGAGCAACAAACGCTGCCAAACCTTCTCACCCCACCCCTGCAACACAGAAAAAAGAAGATAGAAGAAATGTTAGAATTGCCAAGCAAAAAAAAAAACTCCCTTTTGAACGTGACCTCGCGAAATCATGAGGGTGTCTCTTTTCCCTAGGGTTGGGGAGGGGGGTGTGGGGGTTCAAAACTAAGGGGCATATTTCGTAACAGAAACAGAAATTGCTGGAAAAGCTCAGCAGATCTGGCAGCGTCCGTGGACGGAAATCAAGAGTTAACCTCATTGAATGTTTTTAAGGCAAAGACTGACAGAGATTTTTGAACCGTGAAGGTATTCAGGATTATGGTGAGCGGGTCTGTAAGTGGATCATATTGAATGACAGAGCAGGCTCGAGGGGCCAGACGGCCTACCTCCTGCTCCTATTTCTTATGTTCTTACGAAACGTTAGTTTTGATTTCTCTCCACAGATGCCGCCAGACCTGCTGAGCTTTTCCAGCAACTTCTGTTTTTGTTTCTGATTTCCAGCATCCGCAGTTCGTTCAGTTTTTGTTTGGCATATTTTTAAGGTGAGCGGAGGAAGTTTTAAAAAGGACACGAGGGGCAACTTTTTTTTTTTTTAAAACACACAGAGTGGGTCCTGAGTGGAATGAACTTCCAGAGGAATTGGTGAACACAGGCACAGTTACAACATTTAAAAGACATTTGGATAAGTACATGAATAAGAAAGGGTGAAGGGATATGGGCCAGGAGCAGGCAGGTAGGACAAGTTCAGTTTGGGAACATGGTCAACTTGAACTAGTTGGACTGAAGTGTCTGTTTCCATGCTGTATGACTCTAAGTATTTGAGATCCCCTCCACCCCAAAACAATTTGAAGCTATCAGACACATATTTTAGTATTTTATTTGCCAATTTTATAAGGCGTAATGGAATTTGGAATTTGGCCCAGAAAGAAAACAATATTAAAGACAAAAGTTTCGAATTAGTTGACATCAATAAGTGTTTTTTAAAAAGGCAGAATAAGATGCGGATGCTGGAAATCTGAAACACAAACAGAATGTGCTGGAAGAACACATCAGGGACAGTGCTGGGAAACACACAATCAGAATAGTCACGTGGCTGGTTTCAATTCGATGGGCTGAAAGGCCTTCTTCTCTGTCTCTAGGCCAGCATCCAGGAATGAGGGAAGTCCATACCCGGAAGATACTGGACTCAAAATTTTAACTGTCTCCCCCTCCACAGATGCTGCCAGAGTTTCTCCAGCATTTTCCATTATTAAAGGTGACCAGAAAAAAAAAGCAGATACAAAAATAACAGAACTGAGCCAAATCAAATCGGATTTTAAAAAAAGCACAAAATTAAGTAATTGAGACAAAACCACAGACAAAAAATATGAATGAGTTGAGACAAAAACATTTATAAAATCCAAATATTGGCTATTAAAACTGAGATGACAGAACTGATCTAGGTGTCATGGGAAGTAATTCTAGAAATTTATGAGGGGCATAGATAGGGTAGATGGGAATAAACATTTTCCCAATGATGGGGGAGATGGGGAGTGGAAACATATTTGAGGGAAGGGGCAGGAGGTTGAGAGGGGGATGCGAGGAAACAGAAGCTGGAGGAGAATCTGGAACTCACTGCCTGTTAAGGGTGGCAGAGGCAGAGGCAGAAACTCTCATCACATTGAAGAAAGATATACATGGGCACTCACCATACCAAGGCTTTGGCGCTGGGAAATGGGGATGGGAATAATTTAAATTTTTGTTTTACAAAGTTAAAAGTTATTTTCTGTTTCAAAAGAGCAGAGTGGGCTTTGCTCTGTGTTCCACCGCGGGGCTACTTGTCCCTGCCCAGGGAGTGTCTGATGGGGGGGGGG